CCACATCTCTCTGTGCCTGCATCCCACCCCCTTATTCTGCAAGGAAATTCTTCTCGCTTACATAAGTAGATTATTACCACCTGCAATTTTTCCAGAAATAAAACTAAAAATTGAAAATAGCAGTTCTTACAATGCTGGACAAAGAAAAGTGGAAATACAGCTACACTACAAACTTGAACTACAGCCTTAAGCTGTAGCTGTGAAGAGCAAAAGACTGATACAACATCAAGAGTCAGATTTTTACCTCTTTTCTGGGCAACAGAATGACGTGTTGGGCCTGTGTCACACACTTAAGGGTCCTGATGTGATACAGCTGGATGTTTTTCAAATATATTCCTGCCCATATTGCAAGGTGTCTTTCAGAAAGACCTTTAAGCTCGTTACAGGGCTTCCACCATAATGTTGCTTTTCAGTAATAGTAATTAGTTTAATCTAATGTGCTCAAAATATTAATAATGTATTATTTTTAAGATTTTTGTTTTCGATTGCAGTATTAATACATGACACCATATATATCTCTTAACAAGTCTGTTGGATCCCTCAGCACATCAGCGCTGAGAGCAGAGGTTAAGGCAGCTAAATCTTGGCAGAACAGAATTGGAATTATTTGGAAAGGGGAATATTTCAAAGTAATATTTTTGCAGTTATCTACTCTCTGACAGTATTGATAGGAATCACTCTCTGTCTTCATTGCTACTTCTTCCACCAAATACAGCAACATTCCTGGAAATACAAACCACAGTGCAATATATTTTACAAGAGTCCTGGAGAGTTTTTACCTACTGATAAGTGTGCATTATGATAATTTTTTTTTCTTCTTATTTTAATTATCTGGCTGGAGTGTTCATTGCCCTTCTCAAAGAAGCAGCAATCTCAGCTCTTGGCTCATCTGCCAGCACTGATGCCTTCACGGGTAGTAGCTAAGGTTATGCCAATATACACCACAAAATAGAAGTAGATAGAGTGGAAAAAAAATTTAAATGCCAAGGAGAGCAAGTAAAGAGCTCCTAGGGAGAAAAATTGCACATGATAAAAACTAGACTTCTAGTACAGTGTATTTAATTGTACATTTTAAAGAGAAGTGTGGAAATGTCTGTGTAGATGACAAAACAAATACTTGACGAACATTTATACTAATAGCAATTCATTAAAAACAGAAAATTAACCATCTTGTTCTTTACTTAAAGAATAAAAATCAGAAGAGAAGAATACAAGACTAATTCTTTTATTAAGAGGTGATGTTTTTCTATTTTTAAATTGAGAGTTTATTTTCTAATAAAGATGGTGCTGCAGAGGAGTTCCCCTTTAAAACTGTAGGTTATTTATTTGACTAAATGTGAAAAGAGTCGCATTGTAAATCAACTTGAAGCACAACTTTGAAATGTTGTTTGTGAAAATCTAGAAGACTTTCATTTCAGCAGTTTACATATTTTGAATAAACAAGAATTTTGGCACTGGCAGTAAACAATCTCTTCTTACCTTTGTTCATTTATTTTTTTGATTCATGAATATTTCCCCTTTCATCTTCTAGATGTATTTTAGTGGTTTTGAGGATAAAACACTTTATTGTGAAAGGATAAGCAAATTTTTGTTTAGATTTTTTTTTCTATTTACTTTAAATCCTGGATCTAGCAGCTGACTTTCTACTTTTTGCTCCATATAACAAGTTGTAAATTCACAACTTTGCGAGTTACTGCAGTTACTCAGGAATTCTGATTTCATTTAGAAAAGTCAGAGAGACACAACAGAAGACCAATCCCTCTTCTCTTGAAACTGAGATGGTGATAAACCATTTATTTTGTCTTCCAAAAACTCGTAGAATTGAAGTTTTTCAAAAAATAAAGAATTTAAATCGATGTTTAATGTCTTGGCACTCTCTGTGTACTTCTATTTGATGTAATTTTTGTGCACTAATTTCTCTATTTGTGTTAAATTACACGCTTTTCATAATGCAGCTATATGTGCTGGTTTATTCTGTCACATTTAGTAAAGTGAATGGGCAAAATAAGAAGTAACCAATACTTATTTGAGAGCTGAAATTGATTTTTTTGGAAGTGTAACGTAGGGGTTGCAGATGTGAAAGAGCTTACGAATGGATCTACCAATTATACCTGTTATTTTTCACCACGGCCAGAGTACGTGCAGCAGCCTGTGACCTCCTGAGGTTCCTTCTCATTTGTAAATGCTGTTCCCTGCTTTCAGCAAGAGACTGGCTTGGAGTTTTCATGAGAGTACATGACTACATAGTAAAGGTTTCAAAAGCAAAACAATGGGGAGAAAAAAAAAAAAGGAAAATTTAAGTAAAAAAGGAAACATAAGAAGGAGGAGATAATATAAAAGCAATTTGTAGGAATGGTAATAGGCAAAGATAGTCTGTTTTTAAGTAGTTGCTTGATAACCAGTTACATCAAATGCAATGCTAACTTATGATTTTACAAAATTTCTACAGGATCTTCCCAATAATATGATTCATCAAGTAGCCATTAAGTCTCTCCCTCAGGAGTGGCTTTGGTGTGAAACCTGGTGTGATGATGAGTCCAAGAAAAAGGCTAAAACAATAGACTTGGTGAGTTGCTTTTGAGTTAAGTTTGTTTTCTAGATTAAAAAACTCTGCTTTAATTCATGTGGTTTTTGAAATATGCTCTGGAAGGCACTGGAACACTACTTCCCTTCCCCTATAATACAGCAACTTTTCTCCTTTCCTCCAAAACCTCTTCTGCTGCTTCTGTACCAAATTTGCCTATGTTGAAGCTGAAAACTGTACCCCAAAATTCAGTGTTGCTCCCTGTAAGTGGACAGGATTGGGGTTTTTCACACCTGGGCATGTATTTTCCTTATCTTTTTTCCCCATGTTCAGCCAGGTTAGTGGAACACTGATGAATTACTGTTAATTGTCTGGGCACTGTGTGCTGCTCTTGTGCTTCCTACCAAGGAGGTTCCTCCAGAACCCTCTGTGTAGAGGACTTAATATTATGTTGCTTTTCTCTGTCCATTTCCACACTATAAACAGGAGATAAAGCAGAGCTTAAAAACTAATTCTGAGGAGACTGTCCTTATTTAGAAAGAACAAAGTGTCCTTCTTTGGGAATGGAAACAGGGAGAGAAAATGTTCTTCTCTGTCATTATTACCTTATCTCCTTTTTTCCCCATTTTCATTTTTTGACATCCCCCATGCACTGTAAGTGATATTTCAGAGACATAATTCTGATGAAAAACAGACAGTTGGAAGCTGGTGCAACTAATTCAGTATGTAAATAGTTTTGTTTTCTTTGTGTCTTTACAGTTTTTAAAATAAGCTTTTTTTGGTGCACTGTAGACGAGTGCTCTCTGTTCACAAAAGACTGAAATTAAGTTACTAGACCTTCTTCTGATCCCCATTATCATGTATCACTTTTTATTAGGATTTCTATTCATGTGATTTTACGGACGTAATCAATACATTTTCTAAACAACACTAGAGGAAGCATCACAAACTTAATAAAAAACATCAGATTTAATATCAATGTGCTTATGTGTATCTTGTATCTCCCTGTATAACTTAGTAGTCATGTCTCTGCTATCCATACAGTCAGGAGCATATGGAGAAGTAACAGCATTTACAATAAAATGGTTTGAGTTTTTTAAACAGGGTTTACTTACGATTTGGTTCATGTGATTTAATTTTTTATTTTTTTAAAAAATTATTAATATCGAGTTAACTGACCTTGCACACTGCCCTTCAATGCAATTATAAATGCTGACAAAAATTAGTTTAGGTAAGCTCATTGGAAAGGTGATATTTTCACATTTGCTTCATTTACATCTCGTATGTTTTAAATTTTCAGTGCAACAACCCCCAAACCAAAGAACCCAAACTAAAGGCTGCGGCGCGGATAGTTCCCGAATGGGTTGACTATGACTCTGAGATACGAACGTTAATACAGCAAATTGAAAAAGAAAAGAAAAATCTAACATCGTTCTTTCAGAAAGGTAATTTACCTGAATATTAATCTGTTAGCTTTTAAAAAATAAATATGAATATATTGAAATGAAGGTTGGAGTCAGTAGGCACAAATATTGTATATGTGTAATTTCCCTTGGTCGTAGAGAAATTGTGTGGGTTTGAAGAGTCGTGTGATGCTGCTTTACACAGGAGTGACACTGAGAGGATAAAATCTTTTGTTTCATGCCAGCATCTATGAGACAATTGAGAGGTGTCCTATTCTTGGACCTCAGACACAACCAGCTGTTCCACATCGTTTGGGCCATAAATACTAAATAATCACACAGAATCACAGAATCATAGTGGTTGGAAGGGACCTCAGAGATCGAGTCCAACCACAAAAAAAAAAACCAAAACAAAAACAAACAAAAAAAATACCACCCACCCCCTAAACACACAACAACAACAACAACCAAACCAAAAACCATCACCCACCCACACAACATCCCACCACAAACCAATAATCTTGGGCACTAGAGCATGCCCTGAAGAGCCATGTCTACACGTTTCTTAAATACCTCCAGGGATGGTGACTCCACCACCTCCCTGGGCATCAGCTTAGACCTCACTTAGAGAATCTAAAGCTAAATATTTAGTTTACAAATAGATCTTGTTTGGTTTATTTTTTAAATATATTTTTTTTTAAAACTTAGTTAAATAGCACGAGAAAAAATTTTATATAGGACTGCCAATAAGACTTGACTTCTTGGAATAATGTGAAACCAAAAAAACCCAGGTGATCTCAGCTCTCACGGTTGAAGAAAAAACGTAGAAGATAAGTATTTAAGAGTCCAGAGTCAAGGAACAAATTCACTTCTCATTATAAAGTGTTCCTTGTAGGTTTCATTCTTTATGAAAGTTTATGGTCAACTTCTAGTAAGGCTCTAATAATGAAGTCCATGATTGCTGAACTGACTGACTGCCAAAGTAAAGGGCTTTCTCCATGTTTTACCAAACTAGTCATGAGGTCTACATATAACTGGGGTTTATAATTTTATTTTTTTCCCTTTTGTTACAGGTCTTAGGCACGATGAACTTTAGCAGAGCCTGCAGACAGCAATGGTGACAGCTCAGTGGTCTTCTGGGAAAGATCCAATGGAAGCTACGAGTGTTGTTATTTTGGCACTATTTGTAACATTCTTTAATGTCAGGTCAAATATTTTATAACTTATAGTGTTATTTAAAACGTTTTAAATTAAATACAAAAGCAGAAGAGAAATCCACAGGTACTTGATTATCATTATTATTATTTTTTTAACCAGCACAGAGGAGCTTTCCTGGTTTCTTTGGTTTTTTTTCCTTCGCTAAAAGACAGTTTACTCAGAGGATTCTAGAATATAAAGAATGATGTGTTCAACTCTTCAAAGATCTATTGTGTTAGTCTGAGGGAGGGGACACACATTAAATATGTACATGAAAACTGTTTTGTGCATATCATTACATGCATTAAGCTAAATATTTAAATATAAAGAATTTTGGTTATACATCAATAGTTTTGTCTCTGGAGAAATGCAGTGGTCACAAGAAAAAATGTCAGTGTAGCAAAGATTAGACATAAAAAACCCAGCTTGTGTAAATCAGACCACACAAATTTGAGTCAACTTGGAAACTTACTAAAGCAAGGAATGTCACTTTTCATTTTTGATGCCGGATTGCTGTATTCTTACCAATTTTTGAAAAAATAATTTTTGATTTTTAGGCTCCTTTTGGTCACTTTATAGTATGTCATATACTTCCATTATGGTTTTTTGGTTAAGATGATTTTCCAACCAGCATAAATTGCATCAGAAGGTCAGTACCTGGAAGCTACTTCTACTCAGTTTTCATTATCATCGTCCTGTTTAGAATGGAAAATAAAATAATAAAATACGTGAGTAATTTTGACTATCAGTGGTGTCTCATGTATTTTTCTGAGTATGTGCTCACAAAATCATTGCTTTAATGGGCTGCTGACATTTGGATCCTGCCAAAATTGCAGTGGAAAGTTCTTGCAATACACATGTTTGAAAAAAGGGGATTTATTTCTTAAACTGAAATCAGTTCCTTAAATACATACTCCGATGTTTAAGCCGTGCTGGTTTCAAAATAGAGTGGGCATGACCATAAATTCCTACGAGAGCAGCTTAATGCAGTCTTTCAACATGCTTGAAGTTATAAAAGATAAGGGAATTTGCACTAAGTGGGTGAATCCACGATGACTTACATATATTTCCATACCAGCAAATAATTGAATAAATAATAAGAAAAATGAAGCATATTTTGTATGTACTGTCATTGTCCTCGGGTGTCGGTTATTTATAATTAAATACTTGCTCTTACAGTAAGAAAAATCATGCTTTGCTGATATTTTTCAAGTCTAAGTAGTAAGAAATGTGTAGGTTTTTTTACAGGTTTTTATATTTTTTGCCGTATTACCTTACCATTTTGCATT